CTCGCTCTCTCAAAATAAAAAAAAAAAAAACATTAAAAGTAAAGACATAATAAAGTAAGTTAAGCTCTTCAGTTCGGAGAACTCTCATCAGGCTGTTTTAAAACACCAGGTTCAAACTTCAAGACAGTAAGTACTTCAGGGGCACCTGGGTGGCTAAGTCAGTTGAGCATCCAACTTTGGCTCATGTCACAATCTCAGTTTGTGGGTTCAAGCCCCGCGTTGGGCTCTGTGCTGACAGCTCAGAGCCTGGAGCCTGCTTCGTATTCTGTGCCTCCCTCTCTCTCTGACCCTCCCCTGTTCATGCTCTGTCCCTCAAAAATAAATAAAAAGCCATAAAAATTTAAAACTCTATCCCTCCACAAAACAAAATTTTTAAACTAAAATAAATGCAAGTGTTAAACAATCTCCACTCTGATGGGGAACTAGGGTTTCCCAGATGCTCATCATCAAAACAGACATGGGTAAAGAATCTCTGTAACTGACAAGTTGAGATTTAAAACATCTTATCAATTTCAGGTTAGTATGTGCCTCTCTGTTTATCCAAGACAGATTAATGTCAGTGAGGCACTGTGCATTTATGGTAGGAGGGGAAAAATAATGCTTAATAATGTTCTAGAATTCATTTTTAAAAATTTTTTAATGTTTCATTTATTCTTTGAGAGAGAGAGAGAGAGAGAGACCATGACCAGGGGAGGGGCAGAGAGAGGGAGACAGCATCCAAAGCAGGCTCCAGGCTCTGAGCTGTCAGCACAGAGCCCAACATGGCACTCAAACTCACGAACTGCGAGATCAAGACCTGAGCTGAAGCTGGACGCTCAAATGACTGAGCCACCTGGGTGCCCCAATAATGTTCTGTATTTAAAAATTAAAAAAGATATACGTTGAAGAACCAAATAGCATGGCCATCAAGCAGTTAGAGAAGTAAGTCTCACACAACTACCAGGAACAGACACATCTCTGTATCCTTCCCCAAACCACTGTGTTCTTTATAGTTCAAACATTCTATGATCTAGTGTGTAATGTCAGAGACTTCTTAATACAAAGAGATCCAAAAAATGCCCGAGGGGTGCCTGAATGGCTCAGTTGGCTAAGCATCCAGACTCTTGATTTTGGCTTGTTCGTAGGTTCAAGCCCTGTGTCAGATCTGCACTGAGAGTGCACACCCTGCTTGGATTCTCTCTCTCTGCACCTCCCCCCTCACGTTCTCTCTCTCTCAAAATAAATAAACATTAAAAAACAATTTCCAAGCACAAACATCACTTGAGGAAAGACGTCATGACCACACTGCTGGAAGTCAAGCTGACACTGATTGATTTCCATTGTCCCCTTCTGTCAAAGTCCCCAGTTTTATGGACAGAACCGAGAGAGGAGGAGGTGTGACAAGAGTGGGGGTAAATGGGGACATTGCAGGTGTTCTCACCCTGCAGGATGGGAGGCAGGGGACAGCTGCTGGCCCGTCGGAAGTTATGCCATCACAGACCACTGTGTAATGCTGTCCAAGAACTGCCATAAGTGATGATCACAAATTAGGTGGCTTAAAACCAGAAATGAATTACACCTACAAAGACCCTATTTCCAAATAAGAATACACGCAGAGGTTGAGTTTGGAGGCACATTAATCAACCCGGTACATGATGATACATATGCTCACATGTGAACTTCCCAAACTAACCTGTAGTCGGTAACTGGGAGTACATTCCACGGTCATTGCTCATCCCTGTCTCCTATAAGCAGGCTTGGAATGTTCGGGGTTCTCAGCCAGTGCCTGCTGAGTGATGAATGTATGAACCTTTTGATTCAGCACCAAAGCCCTTCCTTGGAGTGCAGATCTGCTGAGTGAGGCATCTCTCTTACATAAGCCCCGTCTGCTACCTTCACAGTCATTTCCCCCGATGGGGACTGAGGAGGTAAAAACAAGTCAAGATGCCCGCCCTGGAGAGCAACTTTAGGGCAGAATCCTACAGGACTCTAGTCTTCTCTCGTCCCCTTCCAGCCTCCCTACCCCCTTTTCATTCAACAACCATTACTTGTGATACACTGAACTTGCCTTCGTCTCTTTTCAAAGGATGACTTGCTCTCCTTTCACATCCATATACAATCAGTTCATGTAGAGGTAGGGTGTTTATATAGAAATATATAGGGTGGCTAGGTCAGTTAAGCGTCCGACTTCAGTTCATGGTCTCACAGTTCATGAGTTCGAGCCCTGCATTGGGATCTGTGCTGACAGCTCAGAGAGAGCCCAGAGCCTGCTTCTGATTCTGTCTCCCTTTCTCTCTGCCCCGCCCCCAACTTGCGCTATGTCCGTCTCTCTCCCTCAAAAACAAACATTTAAGAAAAAACAGTAGTACAAACTGGAATAACCAAGTCTGGGGGAAGAAAGCACGTATGACACTAGTTGAGCGTACAGATCAACTGCGAGAGCAGAAGCACCCTGCCCACTGATGCCAAGCGTGGTGCCCACTGACGCCAAGTCTCAGGGAGCAGGACTTCCAGGTGATGGGCAGCACCAGGCAGTGAAAGTCTCCTACTGTGCTGGGTCCAAAATGCAGTGACTAACAGAAGTGAGGGGAGGGGACGAGAGAGGGAGGGGTCGCCATCAGAGAAATCACTGTGTAAAGCAGTGATTCTGGGCTGGGTTGTGGAAAGTGAAGTAGCAGATTTCCACACAGACCAGAGTAAAAGGGCCTTCTAACCGGGGGAACGAGCAAGGCACAGGCACAGCGATGGGAACCGCCTGGCACGCACCAGGCCATGAGCTTTTCTGTAACGCTGCCCTAGGCGGTGCGCAGCAGGGGTAGGCTGAAGGAGAATCAGGCCCATATCGTCATCTACGTTAGTATTCTAGAGCTTCGCGCTGAGTGGTACGAACAGCACCGACTGGGCAAGGGGCAGGGCAGAATGAAGGGCGGCCAGTTAGGAAAGTTGCAGACACGTGGCGGTCCCAAAATGGCGGCGATGGGCATGCAGAGCAGTGGACGGAGCCTAGTAATGACAGCCAGGCTGCCGACCCGACGGGACCTGGTGACATAGGGATGTGGGACATAAGGGTGAGGGAGACAGGTTTCTGGGACTGCCACAGGCACCTGTCACAACTCTGTGCTCTTGTAGAACTGTCCCCTCTGTCTAGAACACCCTTCCCCCGACCTAAGCACACAGTTTCTCCCACACCTGGCATTGTGCCTGGCATAACGGGGACTCAAAACTGTTGCAGAAATAAATGAGTGAATATATGCTTCATGCCCTAATAAAGAAAAGATGAGACAGAGGAGAAACAGAGTAGAAACATCTACTTTGGGCTGAAGTCAAAGTTTTTTGCTCACTCTCCCAACTAAATACGGCTGGAGGGGCTCTTCATTTGCAGCTCCTAGAAACACTGAAAAACAAACTCACAGACACTAGAGAATTTCGCTCATTCATTTACGGAACACCTAATAAGCGCCAGGGGCTCTTCTAAGTATGTGCAGGTGTGGGTGTGGGTTACAGCTCCAGAGTGAAGCCAAAAAAATCAAGTTTGTTGGGGCGCCTGGGTGGCTCAGTCGGTTGGGTGTCCGACTTCAGCTCAGGTCATGATCTCTTGGTGTGTGGGTTCGAGCCCCGTGTCAGGCTCTGTGCTGACACCTCGGAGCCTGGAGCCTGTTTCAGCCTCGATGTCTCCCTCTCTCTCTGCTCGTGCTCTGTCTCTCTGTCTCTGACTCAAAATAAATAAATAAAACATTAAAAAAAATGACGTTTGTTGATTCAACACTACAGGGTGTTATGATCACTGTTTAAAAATTATGTTTAATGCCCTGGCTGTATTGTTATCTCTGCTGCTCCCGTATCTTCCACATACTGCTAATGTGTCATTAAGAAGGAGAAAGTTGTGAACTTGTTTCAGAAAATTTCAACATGCTCCACTATGTACAGGGAGGGAAAGGCAGAAAGGAGACAAGTCAGAGAGAAACGTAAAATCCCAGGAGCGCAAAGGTAGGAAGAACCGATGCATGAAAGACCAAACCACAGTCACAGAAACTTCAGGACTACAGTCTTTGTGCCCAAAAGCAACCCTCTGGCTTCCCAAGCATCTTCATGGTGGGACAGTTGAGCCGCAAAATTTGCAAAGTTCACAGAACTGAGCTGTGAGTTGCAACGCCTTTATTTCACTACCTATTCTCCAAAACTCATGAAACGAAGTCCAATTCAACCGGAGGGGAGACTCCAGGCTCCACCTGACCTCACAATGCTGCAGAGCGGGCCCAAACTCCCCAGGAAGGAACACGGTGAATATACAATGTGCTCTGCTTCGAGGTTCATTCCTCAAGATTCATACACAGGTGTTCCTCAACATCGACAAAGTTAGAATTTTCACTTCTCTGCCCACAGTGTTCACCAGGTGACCATCAGGAGAGGGGTGGCCCAGCAGGTTAAGGCCAAGGTGACAGACAAAACTTTTACATCCCAGCATGGAGACCCTCGCTGTGAGGGGTATTACCGTCTAGTCACTAGAAGCCTAGGGAATCTGGGGGAAGGGCCAAGGCAGGAACCATTTATCAGTTCGTAGGAAGAATTTCTGCATTATTAACTAGTAGGAGATAAACACCAACTCTGTTAAAAGCCTTAGAACAGGGGTTGGGACACATTTTCTGTAAAGAGCATGACAGTAAATATTGTAGGCTTTGCAGGTCACACGGTTTTGTCACAGCTACCAACTCCACCGCTGTAGTTCAAGAGCAGCCAGAGAGAACAAGTAATAACTCAGGGCCCGGTTGTGTTCTAAAGTAACTCTACAAAATCAAGCGGCAGGACAAATCCAGCCCATGGGCCATCGGCTGCCACCCCGATGTTCCTACACGGCAATAACAGCCCTGCTTCAACCTTCGACCCCAACCTCATTAGCACAGTCTTACCAGCGGACGGAGCGAGCCACTGGGGTCTCCCACGCAGCCTTGATCTTTACAGACCCCAAGAGATGCAGTCAAAGCCTGTGGTCGAACCCTCCGCCCTCAAACGAATATACTCACCCAGAAAAATCTGTAGTGAGAATCCCATAGTGGAAGATATATATTCGGCTGATGTGGCATATTGTAAGGTATCCCATTGCTACAAAAAAGGAGTATCTGAAAGCAGAAAAGAGAGGATCGGATGATTGTGTGTGGCAGTAACATGATCGGTCTTCTCTTCCTCTCCCTCCCTCCCCACATGTAGTCCGTCACAAAGTCCCCTCTGCTCTGTCTGTAACCCAGGTGATCTCCTCCCCTCACATTTACATTCACTGCCTGGGACCCTTCATCTCTTCTCACCTGCACCCTGACAGCACAATGGAGTCACCCAGGGGGCTTTACAAAGTGCCCATGCCCGGGTCTCGCCCCTGCTATTCTGGTTTAATTGGTAGAGGATACACCCAGCAGGTGCAATTCCAACGTGCAGCCAGAGCCGCAGACCAATGACCTGTAAGACCTGGCAGATTTTCCTCTTCACAGACCATCGAGTCTACGCAATGATCTTTTAATGTTTTATTTATTTCTAGGAGAGAGAAAGAGAGAGAGACAGAGAGAGAGACAGCATGAACAGGGGAGGGCCAGAGAGAGAGGGAGTCACAGACTGAAACAGGCTCCAGGCTCTGAGCTGGCAGTCAGTACAGGGCCTGACGCGGGGCTCGAGCCCACGAACCTCGAGATCATGACCTAAGCGAAAGTCGGACGCTTAACCGACCAAGCCACCCAGGTGCCCCTACACAATGATCTTTTAAACTACAGACCAGCATTAGGCCGCAGACGTCTCACTTCCTCAAATGCTTTGTTCTCTTGGGTTCTCTCCTTGTTTGCTTCCCACCTCTCTGGTTAATTCTTCCAGAGCTCATGCTTAGCTTATCTTCCTCCTCAGGTGTTAGCATTCCCAGTGCTGCTGGGCACCCCCCCCACTCCCCAAGCCCGAGGCTTCAGTTACCTCGGACCAGGGTCACTACCTGGCTTCCTTCAGAGACTGGCCCTGACTACTGGGGTATAAACCAGCAACACAAAGACAGGCAGACACACACACACACACACACACACACACACACACGCATATCATTCAGAACATTCATCGATCTGTGATCACACATATGTGACGTTAAAGAACAAAAATTCAACGGAGTAAACTCTGAAGATCTAATTATATTTTTTTAAATGTGTATTTCTAGGAGAGAGAGAGACAGCGTGAGCAGGGGAGGGTCAGAGAGAGAGGGAGTCACAGACTGAAACAGGCTCCAGGCTCTGAGCTGGCAGTCAGCACAGAGCCCGACGCGGGGCTCAAACCCACAAACCGCGAGATCATGACCTAAGCGAAAGTCAGATGCTTAACCGACTAAGCCACCCAGGTGCCCCTAATTATCTTTATTAAGCAATTTGTTGGTCTGGCAGCATCCCATTTAGCAAACAGACGGGAGCTGCAAGGAGTTGCACAAAATGGAAGGTTTTTACAGGAAGGAAGGTGGAACAGGAAGTGACTAGGAAAAGAAAAGAAGGGATTGTTTCAGGCAAGACCACTTTCCCTGAGGAGGAAGGGTCTCCTTACACGGACGACCTCCTCTTCCCTTTGAGGGATGGAGAGGGCCCATGGGACAGACTACCTCATTAATGCTGACCAGAAAATTCCTGGCTGACCGGTGAAGACTTACATTTCTGGGGGAGGTTGAAATTGCATTAAGCCCCAGTTTGCTGAGTTGGCCTAAATGACTCCATTTGGGGTCTGCCATATTTTTAAAAAAATCAATGGTAATCAAATTAACTGCGGTCTCCCTTACTAGACCAAAAGTACGATGAAGGCAAGAATGTCTTGTGTGTTTCACTCACCAGGGTGGCCTCCTGGGTGCTAAGTGAACAAAAACTAAATAAATGTAACTTGTCTTAAAAGTCTCCAATGGGCCCACTGTCCGGTCGGTCACATCAAAACTCCTAAACGCAGCAGGTGACGTGCTTCATGCACGGAGCTCTACCTTTCCCTCGTGGATCCTCTCTGAGCACGCACCAGGTCCACTTCTCTTCAGACCACGCCGGCCGCTCGCCCTCCGCAATTACAGCTGCCGTTTCCAGGCCAGGTGGCTTCCACACGCCCCTTCCTCGGCCCGCAACTCCCTCCTCCACCTTCCAGTCCGCCTAGGAACTGGCTAATCACCAGGGAAGGCTGGGCTGCCGGCCACTCCGCCCAGTGCAGGTTTGCTCTGCCCATCCCGCCCTACACCCAGCCCCATTCCTGTTCCGCTGCTGGTCATTCTCTGGGGCTCCACACCAGCCTCGGAATCGTAATGCCAAAATTACATGCATGTGTCTGTTACGCCAACTCACTGTGGCCTTGAGCACCCCAACCCCTGACCATAGAGGGGGTTCATGTGTGGTTAGCAGAAATGCACTGAAATGAGCACATTCAACATTTTAAACGGTGCAGGAGCCCAGCACAAACAGCCACAAATTTAGAAGGTGTAACATTTAAACATGGGTCAACAAATAGAGACCATGTATGTTCTCAAATTAGATCGAAATTCACAAATTCATGTTCAACTAACTCCTGAAGACCACAACCTCGGAACAGAGAGGTAGGAATCATCAAAATTCATTTGGGAGGGAGGGAGGACCGGGTAGGGAGCACGATAAAGCACTTTGTAACTTTATGTTCTCTTTGCGAACAAAGAAACAAAGATGTTCGCTTTAACTTTATGTTCTCTTTGGAACAAAGGAACAAAGAAACAAAGATGTTCGACACAAAATAAGACTTTCCCTGCCTCGGATCCATCCTTAACCCTTTCCCAAAGAGGAGGATGGTGAACAAAGCTAAGGACTAAGAGAAAACAACTCCCTGAAGAGCTGGGCAAAAGTAGAAATGCCGTTAGTTAGGTCCTCCTGCTGCTGGCCAAGCTCCGTTTTCTTTCTCCAGCCAGTTCAGGAAGGTCAAGGCAAAAGCATGAAGTAGATACAGGGGCGCCTGGGTGGCTTAGTTGGTTAGGCGTCCGACTTTCGCTTGGGTCATGATCTCGCAGTTTGTGGGTTCGAGCCCTGCGTCGGGCTCTGTACTGACCGCCAGCTCAGAGCCTGGAGCCTGTTTCAGAGTCTGTGACTCCCTCTCTCTCTGACCCTCCCCTGCTCACCCTGTCTCTCTCTCCTAGAAATAAATAAAACATTAAAAAATTAAAAAAAAAAAAGCATGAAGTAGATACAAAAGACACATTCTCCCAGGGCCCTTTTGAATGCAACCAGGCCTGCTTCCTCTTTCTCCTCAACAAGACCTACACCCATACCTTCCCCTGCCCCCCAGCCCAGCAAGGAAAGGGAGGTCAAGTCAAGAGTTCTAAGAGCCCAAGCCAGCAAGGAGAGGAGTTCAATTGAGTAGTTCTAACCAGCACCGTGTCCCAATACAACAGCACATTGTATTCGTGCTCTAGACACACCTGAAAAATCTAAGGAATCCAGGAGTGGTGGGGAGAGTACGTATTATATTCTGGAGACAGACCAACAGGATTTCAAATCCCAGCAATGGCAAAGCCAAAGTGGCAAGTCCAGGTACTAGCTATTTCAGGAAGGAGGGATGTGATAGAGACTAGGGCATGAGTGATGGGAACACTCCCCCGCTGACCTGGGTGGTGGTAACATGGATGTACTAATATGTGAAAATCCCCTGATCTGTATACCTGTTTACCTCTCTGACCTTTCATTTGTTCAACTTGGGGGGAAGGGGGAAAGAGAATGTGTAGCCCACTGAATTGTCCTAGAGAAAATATGAAAAACATGAAAATATGAAATATTAAATATATTAAAGGATACAATAAATAAGTTTATATATTAAAAATAATGAAACAGAACTATTTTTTTCATGTTTTTGTTTTTATTTTTGAGAGAGAGAGAGAGAGAGAGAGAGAGAGCGTGTGAGCAGGGGAGGGGCAGAGAGTGAGGGAGACAGAGGACCCCAAGTAGGCTGTGCGGAGACAGCAGGGAGCCCGACGCAGGGGCTCGAACTCGGGAACTCGGAGATCATGACCTGAGCTGAAGTTGGACGCTCAACAGACTGAGCCACCCTGAAACGTATCTATTTAAAAGAGCATGGCTCAGCACCTGTCACAAAGCAGGCACCCCCAAATTGGCAACTGTATCACCACATTCTCACAGAGGCCATCTATATTCTGCTCCAGAACTATATTCTCCTCCAGACGGTCTGGATATGATCAGTTAACACCTGTGATTTCTGCCCAACATAGTGGCTTAGGCAGGAAAAGAGCTGGCACCCCAAGAATTCTCTACAGAAGGAAACAAACAAGATGTCTAGAAATGGGTTAACTCCCCCTAGTAGCAAAGACTGACCTTCCCTGCCCCCCACCCCACCCTTCCCAGCCACGTGATGGAACTCTTAAAACTGGCTCAGCAAGAGGAAGAAAACAATTCACAAGAGAATCATGAAATCCTGATCCCGAAGAAACCTTAAGTTCGAACTATCACACACCCCACATTTTCTAGGTGGGAAGTCTGATGTACACAGAAGCTGCACGCCGCGTCCAAACTCACACTGCCAGATTTCCAGTCTCATGTTCTTTCCCTGCATCAATAGGAAGCAATTTCCCTCCGTCAGGAACCATGAACCACTCCCAACTTCCGCAGTCCTGGCAAAGAAAGCACTTGTGCTGGACTCCTTTTTGGTCTTATGACCCGGCCCTCTGCTACCACAATATTATTGCGGTGCAGTCACAGCCTGTCCGTAAACTGCTCGGCTCAGCCAAAGGTGGAGCATTCCATTAAGGCGGACCCTGGGCTCTGCACGGAACAAGCAAGTGCATGCAGGTTCCTGACCCTCTGAACAGCGGTCAGGATCAGGATCACACGAGTGTGGCGAGAGTGGACAAATCACCAGGTGTGAGGTAGTTAAGAATGTGCTACAGAGATGCACCCGATTCTTACTAATTGTTGAATAGCTTCCAAACTCAAGTTTGGGTTTTCCCCAGACATTTTCACCTCCCACTAAAAACAGCATTTTGTCACAATAGGAAGCAGTCCCAAAGCCCATTCTTACCAAATCAGAAATATGGATTTCCTATCCCCCTTCTGAAGGAGTGACCCTATCCCTTTCAAGGAGAGCATTCAGAAGAGAGAGGATTATAATTCAATTTTTCATAGTTCATTTGGACATGAAGTTGGGTGAAAATAAAATTTTAAAGAATGCAAAAATATTTTCCCTGAAAACATTTTTTCACTTGAAAACAGGAAATTTATAAGTAATTTACAGATTATATATTAAAAAGTTAAATTTTAATGATTTTCAGAAGGAAAACTATCATGCTAACAGTCTTCTTAACAAATCAGAGTTTTCAGGGTGCCTGGGTGGCTCAGTCGGTTGAGCCTCTAGGGATCAGAGACTCTTGATTTCAGCTCAGATCATGATCTCAGGCTCATGAGATCGAGCCCTGTGTTGCCCTCTACACTGGGGTCTATGCTGGGCATGGAACCTGCTTAAGATTCTCTCTCCCTCTGCCCCTCCCCCACTTGCACATGAACTCTCTCACACTCTCTTAAAAAAAAAAAAAATCAAAGAGCTTTCTGAAACTAAAATAAGGCATCTCCTTTTTCAGGGAAGGCATCAGAAAAGAAGTTATAACAGGACAAATGTCTTTTCAAAGGTATTCAGTCATTCATTCCGTAAATATTTATTGAGACTTTACTTGTGCCAGATATTGTTCTGGGCTCTGTGGATACAACAGTGAAGTGTGTCTTCACACATTTCAGTGTTACTGAAAGAATCGATACTGGGGTTTCGCAAAGACCACAGCAAATGCACACAAAGCTAACAAAACAGGTACCCAGGTGTCTGAATCAATTATCCAAGCACATTGCCTTCAAGGCAGAATTGACTTCTCTACCTTTAAATCAAAATATCACAATTAAGATTATTTCTTCCTCTCTTGACAGCTGTAGTGTGCATATTTGAAGTATGCAAAGTTGTGACACAGGTCCACACCTGGGAAGCCACAGCCAAATTCAAGATAACAGACATATCCGTCATCTGCCAAGTATCTTCCTGCCACTGGGATCCCTGTCGCATCTCCCTGGGCCGCCCCACCCCGGGTAACGGCTGATCTGATCTCTGTCACTCCAGGTTAGTCTGCATTTTCAAGAAGAGAATGGTGTGTGGCTTCCTTCCTTCAGCCTACTTATTTTGAAGCTTCATCCCTATCACTGTGTGTTATTATCTTTCATTCCTTTTGCTTGCTGAGCAGTATTCCACCTCAGTGACCATCTGGGTGGTTCCCAGCTGTTTCTCTTCTGACGCGAGGGGCCTGCCAACATTTTCACAAAGCTTCCTTTGAATACTCCCAGTACCTAGGGGCCCCCATGTCTCCTTTCGTTAGAGAACTCCGGATACGCCACTGTGACGTGGGGAAAGCGCCCCTTTACCCGGGAAGCACATTTTGTGGTCATGGGAAAAACCTCAGCTCGCACGGCTCCCTCCCAGAATCTTACCTGTGAATACTGGATACACTTGCAGTGACCATGATCCCGTAGCACATTAACACCAGCACAAAAAGATGCACGGAGTACCTTTAAGACATCATGGAGACAGGAGGAGGAGCATTGAGTATCCTCCAAATGATCACACCCACTGGCCACCCACACAGTGCTCCCCCTCTGCCCCCACCAGAAAGCACGCAGTCTGTCAACTCACGTTTAAGCAACAAAATAAATCAAGGAGTTTTGCTCTGTGTAATTAAGGTACTAGATCTTGAAGTGGCAGGAAGAAGTCATGACAGAGTGCCACTTGCGGTGATGGTAATACCAGGAATCCATAAATGGAATGCTTACACTTTGGCACGCATACAACGGAGAGTCCAGAAGAGCTCCTTCTTTCATTAGAACTTTTGTTTTTTTTAATTTTAAAGCACCAGGACCAAAACTTATCTTTTGAAGATACCAAGATGTTTCCCTGGTAGCTGATTCAACATACTCTTCAGGTTTTCTCAAATTTTTATTTAAGGATGAACAGCAGTATTATAGTGTCCTGAATAAATTCACAAATCTCCTTAAGTTGTACTTGTAAGAAATCTTAGTTCCTAAAGCTTTTTCCCCAACAAGTGCTACTCCCGGGGCATTTGGCCTGCTTACCTGTTAGAGAAAAGAGTCATCTATAGGCTCTCGCTGTTGAGGAATGACTCGCATTTCCTAAGATCAGCGCTAAAACTCCTGTTTTACTTTATGCACAGCACTAACACCAATTACTACTGTAACGCAAGAAAAACATCAGTATCTACTACAGGCAGGGAAGGTTCCTCATCTAGAAAATGAAACCTTGCAGCATTCCACTTACATGACCCAGGGTAACATCAGTGGAAGCACACTTTCTAGAAAAATTCACCGAACTGACTTCTAATGGATAGTCAGCTTATTGGTTCTTACAATACATGGAGATTCCTGGAACATTTCCATCATTTTACAATAGAAGTAAATATACATTTCATTTCCTGCTGGGGAAATGCCAAGAATACTGCCTCAACACACCCGAACGGTAAATACTGTAATGTCTGAGGCTCATACTCACCAGCCAAAACAAAAGATGACAAAATAGATGCCAAAGATGGTGGCAAATGCATGTCGGACATCAGGACTGGTTTTACCAGGACTCAAATAGATGCGGAACCAGAAAGCAGCGAACAAGGCAAAAAGCTGGCATGCTACAAAATTCACCTGTGTGGGAGGGAAAGGGGAGAGAGAGAGAGACTCAAAACCTTTATTTGCCCTTCTGCCTGTGTGTGAATTCTCTCTCGTCTGTTCTGATTTCCACAGCAGGGTACATCTGAGACTTGGACTTTCTCCTCAGCAGAGTGTTGTTTCGAAAAGGTTCAGGAGACGGACCAGGTAACCAGGCCCTCATCAGGTGTAACAAGTGAGCAACCTCAGTTTCGTTCCCAATTTTTTTCATTTTTTATTTATTTTTGTTAATTTTTATGCTTATATATAATTTATTGTCAAATTAGCTAACATACAGTGTATACAGTGGGCTCTTGGTTTCGGGGGTAGATTTCGTTTCCAATTTTTCAAGACGAGCCAAGGTAGCTTTCTCACCCACAGAGGGCTTCTTAATGGAAAGGGCCTCAGCGACCATGAGGTCAGTTTGCTGGGTCTCTTTCTGCCACGTCCCCAGTGCTATACCCTAAAATAAAGCACGTGTTCTATAAGAGGCACAAATGAATCAAATCCATGACGCGTCCCTCATTTAATACCTAAGAAACTAAATGCTTCTCTCCAAAATCATCAACTGTCTGACTCCAGTTTTTCTCATTTTAAATGTACACCAAATTAAAAAAATAAAATTAAAATAAAAATAAATGAATGCCAAATGAATGAGAGCGCAGTTCAAGTTCAAGGAGTGGCACTAAAAATCCACCCACACAAACAGAAACACTTCCAGTGCTACCTTGTCCCATTATTTAAATTAGGCAACAAATTTCCTTGGAAAAATCTCATTCATCTGTCTCTCAAAAATATTGTACCTGAAAGAAAATATAAAATAATCCCGATACCCCTGCAAAAGAACGACTTCACACAAAATCAAAATACATCAAGTGATGTAACCATTAATTACAAAAGAAAGAGCGGTTCAAACTTTTCAGAGTATTTGAAATGAAAACTTAGCTTTTAGAAGACACTTAACGGAAAAGGGATGGAGGATATAAACACCTGAAGAGAGCCTCCAATTCAGCCTCCATAGTTTCTCACACAACAAAAAACTGTAGCTGTTGGTGGTGAAATTTATGAGGGTTCTGGGGGGAGGGACGGAGGCAGCAACATCAGCTCCACCTGTGCTCATTTTGTTTTCCCAGTAAAAACCAAGACGACCCTGGGCCCCTGATCTATCACAGGAAGACTCAGAGAATTTTCGGTTTCGTTTTTTTTTTTTTCTTTTTTTTTTTTTAAATGTTTTATTTATTTCTAGGAGAGAGAGAGAGAGACAGCGTGAGCAGGGGAGGGTCAGAGAGAGAGGGAGTCACAGACTGAAACAGGCTCCAGGCTCCGAGCTGGCAGTCAGCACAGAGCCCGACGCGGGGCTCGAACCCACGAACCGCGAGATCATGACCCAAGCGAAAGTCGGACGCTTAACCGACTAAGCCACCCAGGCGCCCCTCAGTTTCATTTTTAAAAACTGTGCTGAGTTTCCCCTCTATCTGGAGATCACTCTTCACCGATATTTCCAAACACTTATCCCTGCTACTGCCCGCCCTCAGTTTCTACCTCAAAGACAGACAGAAGGTGAATTGTGATCTAGCCTGCATGATGCGGTCCTATCATTTTATGTAGCTTAAATACACCACCACCAACTCTCTCTCTCTCTCTCTCTCTCTCTCTCTCTCTCTCTCTCTCTCACACACACACACACACACACACGGACACACACTGGAGAGAAAAATAACCATCTTAGCCAAGTTCAAATGTAAAGGAATTGGCAACTGGAAGTTCAATGATCATCTGTAGGTGATCAACCACACATTCTTTCATTCTCTTGTCACAGCGGAATAGAGTCACTAAGGAGAGCACCCTCAGGGAAATTGGTTCTGCTCCCTGAGGTTTGCCAGTAATTACTGAGCACCCCTGTATGTGAGGAATGATCCAAAGGGTAGACTGGAGTTCTCAAGTGCAGTCCCCAGACCAGCAGGAGCAGCATCACCTGGAAAACCATCAGAAATGCAAATTCTCAGGGCACCTGGGCAGCTCAGTTGGTTAAGCATCCAAGTTCATTCAGCTCAGGTCATGATCTCACGGTTCGTGGGTGTGAGTCCTGTGTCTGACTCTGTGCTGACAGCTCTGAGCCTGGAGCCTGCTTTGGATTCTGTGTTTCCCTATCTCTCTCTGCCCCTCCCCCCTTGTACTCTGTGTGTGTCTCTCTCTCAAAAATAAATAAAACGTTAAAAATTTAAAAAATAAATGCAAATTCTCCTGCTCCACCTGAGACTTACTAAATTAAACCTTCCCAAGGTGGGTCCACCGGTCTGTGTTTTAACAGCTCCCCAAGAGATGGGGAGGCACAGTCACTTTGAGAAGCCCTGGGACAGAGGAGAAAGTAAGTACAGTGCCTGCCTTCCAGACCTTCTACTCTGAACCTACAAGTAATTGTAAAGTGTGAATTTAGTACATTATTATTATTCTCTTACATCAACCCTCTTTAGATCCAAAGTAAATAATGAGAAGTTTCATCGTTAAGGAACAATGAGACTCAGGCTAATAATCAGGGGAAAAAGACTATTGAAATAGGTAAAAATTGAGGTGGGGGAGCAGGTAAGGACTTTAAAAATACTGCTGTCTGGGGCACCTGGGTGGCTCAGTTAAGCATCCAATTTCAGCGCAGGTCATGATCTCTCAGTTCGTGAGTTCGAGCCCTGCTTCAGGCTCTGCACTGTCAGTATGGAGCCTGCTTGGGATTCTCTCTCTCCCTCTGCCTCTCTCTCTCTTAAAATAAATTTGAAAAAAACATTAAAAAAATACTGCTGCCTAGGTCCTATCCCCAACCATTCTGACATGACTGGCCTGACAGACATCAGGACTTTCTGAGGCTTCCAGGTGGTTCTGATATTCAGGCAAGATGGAGAGCACCTGACTGAGAAGTATAACAAAAGAGATCCTCAGAGGCACCCAGGAGGAAGTAGGCTTTCTCATAAAGAAGAAAAGCACAAATAAAGGACAAGGAGATTAGACTGTGGAGGCCGTGGGGCAGGGATGAGATGGAACAGATTTAAGCTCAATGGCTGTTGTCACTCAACTGGCCGAGGTACCCTCAGCCTCCTGACAGTCTCATCAGCTTGGCTTGTCTTAACGAAGGTGGGCTTTCCAACACACTTCCAGGAATGAATAAGGCTCACGGTGGGGAAACTACATCTGATCTTGTCACCCTAGTGATTGGTAAAGAGGGAAGAAAGATGCACTGGGTCACTGAAGCAATCTGCCATTTTTCAGCCATCATAATCTCTTGTGTAATCAACTGAACACCCTAGTTCTGACTCTCGGGTGTCAGCTGGGTGATCTGAGGTAATTCATTGATTAATTCTACAAACATTTACTGGTTGATGCTATATGCCAGATACTGGGTACTGCAGGGAAGATACTGTCACCACCAGCAAGTCAAGGAAAGAAGACTTATATGCTCTGGGTTTCAGTTGCTATTTTTGGGGTGTGGGGTGCAAAACGTATGCATTGGGAGACTTAGTCTCTAATGGTCTCTGATCCTAATCTAACCCAAATCCTTTCCCCTAACTGGTAGTGGTTAATGCCTAAATGTGACACCTTTAGGGACTAAAAGCTTCCTCCTACACACAGACAAAAACCACACCCTCATCCTCACCCTGGGAGTGAGTCACGGATGGCTGGATGGATGTTCCTTGCCAAACTGTTCCAAGGCAAAAGTGGAAACACACACAGCAGCACCACTTAGTTCTCGAAGGAGGCTTCTACCAGAATTGCTTTTCAACTACCAGATGTACATCTTAAAAGGCACAGCTGAACCACAGTTAGACACCTCTTCACATGCATTAGAATGGCTATTATTTTTAAAATAATGATAAGCGCTGGAAAGAATGAGGAGAAATTAGAACCCTTGTATGCTGCTGGGTAAGAATGTATGATGGTGCACCCACTGTGGAAAACAATATGGTGGATCTTCAAAAAATTAAAAATATAATTATGCACGACCCAGCAATCTCACTCTTGGGTATTTGCCCAAAAGAACTGAAAAAAAGGGGTCTTGAAGAAATATCTCCATCCATGTTTGTAGCAGTATTATTCACAATAGCCAAAATGACGGAAGCACCCCAAGTGTCTATCAATGGATGAATGGGTAAAAAAAAAATGTAAATATATACAATGGAATATTATTCAGCCTTCAAATGGGGGAGATTCAGACACATGCTACAACTTGGATGAACCTGGAGGGCATTATGCGAAGTGAATAAGTCAGTTACAAGAGGACAATTATTCTATGATTCCACTTAAACGAGGTACCTAGAATGCAGTCGTTAATTTCATACAGACCGAAAGGAGGACAGTGATTCCCAAAGACTGAAGGGTGGAGGGAAGGGGATTATTGTTTAATGGATACAGAGGTTCAGTTTTGCAAGATGAAAAGAGTTCTGGAGATGGGTAGTGGCGATGATTGTGTAACGATGTCATGTCCTTAATATCACTGAACTATACTATGTGCTTAAAAATGGTTAAAATGGAAAATTTCATATTTTGCATATTTTATCACAATTTTTTAAAAAAGTATAGGCCAAAGCATGACACCAATTTCTTTGCATTTGCAACTTCTGTGCCAACGGTGGCATGCTGCCATGACAACAGTTCATACAGGAACAGAATGAGATCCTGGCTCCTTCCCTCTCCATAGGGCCATCAAAATTAGAAGCATTGTTTTTCAGAAATACATCCCAAAGTGGCTTTGATTTGATGTATAGGATCTGCTTCCAAATAACCTTGAAGGGATGGGTAGAATGGAGTGAGTATAAATCAGTGGTTCTCAACTGGGGATGATCTGCCCCCTTCCCAGGAGACGTTTTTGGTTGTCATAACAGAAATGGCGGTGTGGGGATGCTACTGCTATCTAGTGGGTAGAGGCCAGGAAGACCACAGAATGTCCTAAAGGGCAGAGGACAGCCTCCCCCAACAAAGAATTTCCTGGCCCAGAACATCAGTAGAGCTGG